TTAGATTTAACATTTTCTTTGACCAAAGTATTCATTTCTTCTATCATGTCTTCAGTGCCTGAGATTCTCTCTCCCATCTCTTGCTGTCTGTTGATGAGTCTTGCCTTCAAGATTCCTGTTAAGTTCCTAAATTTTTTACTTCCACATTTTCCTCTGTTTGGGTTTTTTTTTTTACTGATTTTATATATACATTCAGGTCTTGAACTTTTTGTTTTGTTTTTGTTTTCTTTCAATTTTCTTCCATTGTTTGTTGTGTTTTCATAGATTTAAGGGATTTATTCATTTCTTCTTTAAGGAACTCTATCATGTTCATAAAGGCTATTTTAAAGTCCCTTTCTTGTGCTTCAATTATGTTGGAATACTCCAGGCCTACTGTGGTAGGGTTGTTAGGCTCTAGTGGAGATATGTTGTCTTGGTTGTTATTGATTATGTTTATATCATGCTGTCTAGGCTTCTGGGTTTGGGAAGATTGTAGTTCTAAGTGCTTTTATCTGGTCTTGTCTCTGTTGAGTGGGTGTTTTGTTCCTTTGTTTCTGGTGCTATCTCTGGTTCTAGGAGAGTGTAGTAGCTGTGGCTTGCTTGGTAGAAAATTCTTCTGGTGTCCTGATAAGTGTGGCCACTGGGGGTTCCTGGTAAAATGTTTCTAGGTATTGGCATCTGACACTTAGGAAGGGAATGAGCTAAGAGGAAGGGGTGAGGGAAACCACAGGTGGGAGGGAAACAGGGTATTCCATCAAGATCTACCTACTCCTCTGGGAATGGGGGCAGAGTCTGAGGAGAGGCAGCAAAAGGTAGTCTGCTACAGAGCTAGGGATGAGATTGGGGGTCGGATATGGAGGAGAAGAGGGGAGAGTGAAGATCTAAAGCTCACCTACCCATTTAGCTGGCCTATTGCTTCTCTGTCAGGGTTGGCTGGTGATTCTGGGGAATGCCTGCTGGAGGTGGGGGCTGGGAAAACAGAATTAGTGGGGAGAAGTTTGGAGGAAAATATTCACATCATCCACTGTGTTGGTAAACTGAGAAGCACCCACCATCCAAAGTCAGGTGCTCCCCCATCCCACAGCCTGCCTTCAGTGACACAGCACCAGTGGCACTGTCATCACTGACAGCCAATGCCGTGTGTTCCCACTGCCGTGGTCTCACATTTTCCCTATGTACATGATTCATACTCTCTATAAAGCCCCCACCATCATAGCCTGCTCTCTTTTCCATCCTGACTCAGAGGCATCCTTTGCATAACCTGCCCCCAAATCTCCCACATGAGATCTGTTGTCCAGTGTGATTGTGCGGCATTCTTTGCCCCTGTGATGGCCACAAAACATTTACACACTGGAGATGAGGGCAGAGAGGAGGGGGAAGATGAACAGGTGGTCTTCTACAGAGTTAGGGGTGAGAATGGGGGATTGGATTTAGAGGAAAGGAAGGAAAGGTGAAGATACATGGACTACCTTCATCCCTACCTTCACCACAGAGTGGCCTGTGTGTACTCAGGGGATGTCTGCTGGAGTAGGATGTTGGAGTAAAGTGATAGATGAGTAGAGAAAAGGATGTTTAGAGATCTGTGTGATCCCCTGGAGATGGGGGAGAGGTGGGGAGGGGAGGGAAGGATGCAGGAGCTAGTCTGCTACAAAGCTGGGGGCGACACTGGAGGAATGGATTTGAAGGAGGAAGGAAGAGGGAAAAGTCTGCAGTGAGCTTATCTCCCTGGACAAAGTGCAACACTGCTCACTCTCTGATTTCCCCTAGACACTTCCTTTGATGTTCACCCACCTTAGAAATTAGAAATTTAAAAATTTATTATTCTTTGTGTGCAAGAGGGCACGTATGCCAAAGCCCGCACATGGAGATCAGAGGACAACTAGAGTTGGTTCTCTCCTTCCGCCTTTATGTGGGTTCAGGGGGTCAAAGTCTAGTCATCAAGCTTACATGGCAAGCAACTTCAGCCCCTAAGGCCATCTCCCTGCCCCCATCTAAGAAATATAGCCTTCATCTGTTAGCCTCTGTTCTGTACTTGGCCTCAGCTTCATTTCTTCCTAGTCTTAATCTTTTTCCTTCATGAAGGAACTCAGTTCTAGGATTGTTCCTGCTGGAAGATGTTCCTCTGAGGCCATCCCAGCCTTTTACAGAATTGTTTAACAGAATTGCACAGGGGAAGTAATTCTTGGTCTCTTGATAAATAATGTTATGTGTCAAGTTGGATAGATTAAGGGATGCCCTGGTGGTTGGTAAAATCCTGTTCCTGGATATATTTGTGAAGATGTTTCTTGAAGAGATTAGCCTTCCATCAACAATGACACCAGAACTTTTCAGGGTTCAAGGATCAAATAGAACAAAATGGAAAATTTGGTTTCCCTACTTGAACGGAGACATCTCCCTTTCTGCATGTAGACATCAACACTCCTTGTTTGTGAACTTTTAGATACAGAATACAGCTTACATCATCAAATTCTCAACTTCAAGACCTTTAGACTGAGAATGAACTATACCAATGGCTTTCCTGATTCTCCAGCTTGCAGACAGCAGATCATGGGATTGACTGGCCTTTGTAACCATGTGAGCCAATTCTTATAAGTCTCCTCTTAGGTAAATCTCTGTCTTCATGGCCCACCTCTACAGGGACAGAATTTTAAGCATGGGTTTTCTGAATTGCTTCTGAAGCTTCTGGAATCAGAGCACTGGTGGTACATAGATTGAACCATTTGATGTTTGCTTTTGGTGACTCTTAATTAATACATATAAGAAGTGAGAATTCACTTGATTTCATGCATCATTCTTGCAAACATTGATGGGGAATTTAATTTTTCCAGAGCTCTAAGCAAGCTCACTCTGGTGGTTTCCTTTTCTCCCTACCTGTGCTTCATCTGGGACTGGTTGCCACTAAAATCCATGAGTAAAATGATGAAAAGAATGAGATCCATCAAGGGATCATTTCCAACTCAAGCTATACAGGCAACTAGAGCTTTTAGGTGGTTCCTGACACAGAGCCTTCTTTCCTACAGGGATGAAATGACTGAAGATCAAGTATAGAACTCCATCTTGATTTTGGCCTCATTGAACACTTTCTACCTGCAGGGCGTCTGTTGTAGAAATGAGGTACTGCTTGGAAGAATGGAATTTTGTGGGTTGGGATGGGAGTGTATGGGAAGCGCCTGATAAAAGCTGTGGGCACAGAGCTCCTAAATTCTAAAGAGTGCTTTTTGCTAATGGAGGAGCCTTCCCCAGCATCAGTAAAAGTGCCTCTGGAATTGCTGTCACCAACCAAGCAAATCTCTTTGAAAGTGGCCTCTTACCCACAATGCATAAGACCCTCCACACACAACAGTCTCAACCTTTCCATTTCTGAGAGGATTAATGCTGTATTACCCACAAAAGCAGAACTGCTTTGTGGGAGGCAAGAGAGTGCCAGCTCACCTTAGGAGTTAAGGGCTCCATCCCTAGCTCTTTTGCTTCTAGAGCCATAACTAGGTTCAGCTCCTGTAAGCCCTTGATAATGAAGTATTAAGTGGGACCCATGAGGAGTTGCACTATAATCCCTAAAGAACTGCCTGGGTCTTTTCATCTATAGTGTGCAATTTAGGATGGGACTAAGCGCGAGATACCTCTGGAAGGAGCATAAAGTTGAATTAAGTCAAATTTAAAGATATGGGGCCAGTAAATTGAGATTCTGCATTGAACATTGCAATACCAAGTCAAAACAAAAGGTTGCTAATGAACCAAGTGGAATTTCCTGTGTTGATTTACCAGCCCTGTGGTGGCAGTTGGTAAGATTATATTTACTGATTTAACTGTGGAAAAGGCAGCACTGTGTTCTTGCTGGAAGATAAAATTCAGATATGAATGTGCTTTTCCTAGACACAGTGTTTCCCTAGTCTTATTTTAGCTTGTTATGCTGTGTTCAGTTTATGTACCTGGGAGCCTGTTCTTCTCTAATGGGAAATGGAGGAGTACATAATCCGAGGGTTTTCTCCCACCCACCAGTTCCCGAATAACCACTCAGAGGCTTAATATTACTTATAAATGGCCATTGGTTCAGGATTATTACTGACTACCTCTTACATTTAAATTAACCCATTTCTGTTAATCTATGTACTGTCACATGGCTATGGCTTTTACTGGTCTACTGGCATATTGTTTCTTGGGTGGCTACTGGCGTCTCTCTCAACTTCACCCTCCTCCCTATATCTCCATTTGGCTTTCTCATCCTGTCTTATTCTGCCTGGCTATAGCCCAGATCAGCTTTATTTATCAACCAATGAGAGCAACACATATTCACAGCATACAGAAAGACCATCCCACAGCAGGAGTGGGTCTGAAGGAGAGAGAAGGTAGCAATGGAAGGACTGGGAGGAGTGGAGGGAAAGGGAAACTGGTCAGGATGTAATGTATGAGAGAAGAATTAAAAAAAAAGAATGGGCCATTTGAAAGAAAGATTTGTTATCTCATATACCTTCTAGTTTTCTCCCTAGCCCCATCTCATATGTATGTGTACAGTCTTACTCCATGTGTGTACATAAGCTGCAGACACACATGAAGTCCTAGCACTCACAAATAAGCACTAGAGAAACCAGAATGTTATATGTGCAGGCTTTTCAACAGAAGGGATTTTTCCACACAGAAGTCTGGAATGGATGTTGTTTATAGCCTGGTGATCCTTGCTGTTCTGTAGAGTCAGGCATTATCTGAATCCCCCAGACACCTGAGCATCAGTTCTCAGCCAATAGAACCCATTCTTATGAAAGAGGTCCTGTGTAGTTTGCAGTTGAATTTACTATCATGCTTATTGCAAACTTTTTCTATCTAGACCATTATCCTGAGCATTGTTTCTCAGTCAAGAGAATCCGTTCTTGTGGAAGAGGCCACAGGAACTTTGCAAAAGACATGAACTTGACAAAAGAGTTTCAATGTAGTCGTACCTTATGCATTCATCATGCGTATGCATATATATAATCATATAGAATATTTAGAGCAATGTTTGATATATAGTCAAGACTCTATTGAAATATTATTAACATAATTGTACAGTTTATTTGCTCTTTTCTTCTGTTTGCCAGTTTGACAGATGGCGATAAACACAAAGATCACTTAGAATTAATCCAGATAGAAATCAAGGTATCTATAAAATTTGTCCACAGATTCATGAACTGAAGAAGTTTTCAGTGTCTCCCTCTCCTCTGAGTATGAAGTGATACTGAATACAGGCTGCAGTCAGGATTGTCTCTCCCCACTCAGAGGTTCTTGTTTGTGGGGTTTTGCTTCCCTTCTGTGCCTGGTTATTTCAATTGTGTGATGAACACTGCATATGAAAGATAGCTTTCAGGGATGGCTTGAGACCTAATAATGGTATTTTCTTCTAGTGATGATCCTTGATACAAGAAACATCAGACCTTTAAAATCTCATTTCCAATTTTCAGATGCCTTGATTTTGGCTAAGGCTAATGTATTTCTTGTTTAATTTTTTCCTCTGAGGGTCAATCTTTTTGGGTTCCCAGGTCAAAGTGGCGAATGAGTCCCATAATCTTGATGACTGTTAGGCCAGATTTTGTCTCTCTAGAAAAGGGGAATCTCTCTGTCTCCTCTCTTAGATCATTGAACACACCCCCAGGGCAGCTCTGGGAGCAGACATCTCCTGTCCCTGAGGTCTATCTCTTGAAACCTTTTTTCTTTCTCCACATCCATCCTACCACCCCATTCCACATCCTGGTACTTCTCATGGACCCCTACACTAGCCTCTAAGATGTTATCCTGCATCGAGCTTTGTCCCTTACAGTGTTTTCTTTCACTGTAACTATGTTCTATAAGCACAGAGCTTTATGGGCTGGCCACAGCAACTTCTTTTCTTTCAGGTCTTCTCGTCACAGGGCATTGCACTGGCTGTCCTCTCTGACTACAAGGAGCCCCTTTTATGTTTCCCTCTTCTTGTTTATTCATCTTTAGATTTCATATCAATATTGAATTGAAGTTTCTCTGACCATTCCCTTGTCCTAGGTAAGCCCCTCCATTGTAGGTGACCAGTCCTGACCACTCTATGTTATTTGAAGGATAGTATGTACGTTGGCCTCTCACTGGAGTTTAAGCATCCTGAGGGCACAGACCTCTATTCTGGTTCACTGTTGTATGCTCTGTACTTTTGGACAGTGCCTGACATTAGTGGTACGCAGTAGTGCTGTTGGACAGATAAAAATATGCATGCATGTGTCAGTACACGAGCAAGTGCCTTCTTGAAATGATACAGTCTTGCTCCCCCTCCTTCCTTTTATTAGGTTTCTATATTCGAGAATTCATGGCTCATATTTCACAAGTTGCACACAACATAACTCAGAGGGCTGTATGTGGTGGGCCCATGAAGCGGTGTGAGTTTTCGCACTACCTAGTTGGTGGTTTCCTTTGCTGTCAGCTTGAGCTCAAGAGGAAAGAACCTCCTTTTGAGCCCACCATTGTGAAATACTGAGTTCCTAGACTCCAGTCCCTGTTTAATTAAAGCAAGAGAGGGTGGTGGTGGGGTGGGGTGGGAAGGATGCTAATCCTAATTTTTTGCTGTATGAGTTAGTTCCCAGACAGAGGAGATTGGGGAGGTGATTGGGGAATCTAAAGCCCAGCTCTCTTTGCCTGCCCACAACCCACCACAGATGCAAGTCATGCCCTGACCGAAATTAATCTTTTCCTGTGATCACTGTGGGAGGGTCTGCCTTTGTTCTCCCGCAGGGGGGCAGTTTCCATTTTCCTTCACCACACTTTTAACAGGTGGGTTTCAGGTTTCCCCTTCAGTTCTTAGCAGACACCAACTCTTATTCTCACTGAAAATCTATTTACAATTTTTTTCCATCCTGCTTATATAATACGCATTTTTTTGAAATGGAAAAGCATTTGGAAAATGAATACACACAAGAAAAACAAACAAATAATGAGACACTTAAGCTTTCGCTCTCCTCAGAAACTATTATTAGTAGTTAAATGTGCTTTCTTCACACATAGTTTTTTTTTTTAAAGAAATATACGCACTCCATATTAATTGAAGGATGGAGAAGCATTGACCTCACTCCCCCCTTCTTTTCTCTCCTTCCCCCACCATCCTTCTTCCTTCTTAATTTATTTTGAACAATGTTTCATTTATTTCAGGCTGACCTGGAACTAGTTAGCAGAGGATTCTGAATTTCTGACCCCACTGCCAACATTTCTGGAGGGCAGCTACTATAGCACACACCTTGACACCTAGTTATGTGGTGCTTGGGCTGGGGCTTGTTTTCACGCAAGGCGTTTCTTTCAGTGTAACAGTACTCACGGAGCACATTCACTTCTACACGTTATCTTTCCCACTTATGATAACTGTTACAGTTTCTAGCGTTATAAAAACTGTTTGACCTTCATTTTTTGTTGTTTTTGTAGCCCCAGTAGACCTCAAATGTGTGGTCTTTCTGTTTAAGTCTCCTGGGCGGTAAGATTATAAGCACATAACCACCATGAACTACATTTTTTAAAATTTTAGACAAATGTAAATTTATAACAATAACAAAAAATAATAATTGTTAATGTTGACAGGATCTTCGTATTATATAACCTTTGCTGGCTTGAAACTTACTATATAGTCTGACTTCAAACTTATACCTAGCCTCCTTTCTCTGCCTTCCAAATACTGAGATTATAAGCTTATGTCTAACATATTTGGCTATATAAACCATATTTTTAAGATTTAACTTAATTTCATTATTTTATGTGTACAGACATTGACTGCCATGTATGTTTATGTACCATGTGCCTGCATGGTACCCATGGAAGTCAGAAGAGGGTATAAGATGCCCTGGAAATGGAGTTACTGATGCTTGTGGGCCACCTTCTCAGTATTGAGGATTAAACTCCTTTGGAAAATCAGGTGCTTATAACTTCTGAGTCGTCCTCTAGCTCCCTACCCTATACTCTTAAAGTCTTTGCTCATTTAACCTTATTTATGGGCTCACTCTTAGGGAGTTTCCAGAATTTGTCTATGGAAAATTGCAACATAATGCATATTTTTGTATGTGAATTTCACAATGTCTTTAAAAGAATCAAATTACAGAATTATTATTTTCTGGACAAGCTTGAAGCCCTGGTTTCTCCTGGCTGCATGGTAGACAGTTCTCACCTCCAAGTGCTGCTATGGGCCCTTCCCTTCACCTTCGTGAGAACTTTGGGGGAACCTCCCTTAATACATACTGATTTTATTTAAATAATATCTTACTTTTTAATTAGAGTAATAAATACAGTGATCTGTAATATTTAATAGCATTTACATCTGTGCCTTGGGCAAATGCCTACACAGCTCTGGGCAGAGGCTAGCTCTTGACAGAGTTGCCATGTACTGGGAAATGCATCCTATTTTTAGCTTTTTAGCTTTCATTTCCCCTCAAGTCTTCAGCCTCAAACTTCCTCCTCTCCCAGTTTCTTGGCTTCCTCTTTTTTTTTTTTTTTGGTAGATTTATTTTTGTTTTTGCTTCCATTTTATATTTGGAAGTGCTTCCTTACTCCAGATACTTCTTCTTTATAAAGACGTGCTTCCTCTTTTTTTAAAAAAAAAACATGTTTTAAAACTATTTGAGTTTATGTCCTTCAACCTTAGAATCCTGGTTCCCCTTTAGTATCCTCATACAAGATATATAAGTTCTGGTTCTGGAAATATATCAAATGCACATGTACGTGCGTGCACAAACACACACACACACATACACACACACACACACACACACACACACACACACACACACTGCCCCATGTGTTCCCATGTCTCTTTCAAAACACCAAAAAAATAAAGTGAGTTCTATGGGGCTAGGAATGTGTCTGTTTTACCTACCATAAGTTCTTAACAGTTGTAAACCTTTTCAAGACATCAAACCCCAGACTCAACTACACTTGACTCCAGCTCCTTGACTGGATCCAACATGTATATTCAGGCTATTCCTCTATTGAGAATAATTGGCTCCTTTAAAGGCCCAGAGCTTAGGTTTTTCCTTTGGAGCATGCAAGGGAAAAGTGAAGTAAAGGTAAGGGGTCCTTGTCCTTCACCACGTGCTTTGAGTGATGGACACTCAATGGGGATGGTACCAGCCAAACATAGGGATTTAGCTGGATGTCCTATCCTTGTGCATTTTGACCTCTGGCACCTGCATGCCCACATCGGGCCTTCTGGGACTGTATAGCCATTGTTTCTGTGGCTCTCTGTAAAGTTGTTCATGAAATGTCAAGCAAGAGCAGAGTGTGTTGGAATAATTCAGTCAAGTTTGGCACAGTACCTGGCATATAGCTGTTAACTCCATTAATAATACATCATTTTGGGCTGTTAAACCTGCTTGTGCTGAACATGTCAGTCCTGGTAAGCAGTCTCCTGTTATCGTTCTGATCTCAAGTTATAGAATAGGATGGGACTTGAGAGCTTGTTCTGAGGTCTTAATTAATATGTACATTTCTGGGCTTTTTTTTCCCTTAGGACCGACAGATTCACAGTCACATTTACAGAAGGAATACAGACTCTGGGTTTGATAAGAGTTCTCAGAGGTGGAACAATGAACCTCAGGGCCCAAAGCAGCATACAAGTAGCTTATTCTGGAAGGAAGCTGTATTAGTTGGTCCTCTTGTGTTGAGGCCAGAATCCTGACAGAAGCAACTCACGAGGGCAGAAGGTTATTTTGGTTTTGAGTTCCAGCGATGAAATCCATCATCAGAAGGCATGATGACTGTAGGGGCTCAGTCTACATTAGAGGGTGTTTGCAATGGCTGCTTCCAGTTGATTTGGGGAGGCCTTTTTCCATGGCCATTCTATTCTAACAAAAACACACATGACATCTTTCTTGGGTATATTCAGTGCCTGAAGTTTTCTCAGCAGATGCTTCACGTTCCTGGTAGCTCCAGTGTCTTGGAGTCTATACTGCAACCTAGGCTTTGCCTTCATAGTTTCATGCAAGGTTGCTTGGCAGTTCCACTCAGAAAGACCAACCTTGTTATATACTCAGAGCAAGCCTCAGCGGCTTCTAGCTTCTACATTCTGCCTGTATGCAAAGGCACCAGCATATGGATATTGCCAAATTCTGCAGCTGGTCCAGGGTAGAGCCACACCCCCTTGAGTCAGAGCTTCAACAGGTTCTGAGAGCCCACGCAGGTGAATCTGGAGAAACGCGTTTCCAGCCTAATTTACTGAAGTAGGATGCTCTGTGTTCACACATTCTTCCTTTTAAATGACATCTTTTCAAATGGACTTTTTAGTTGGAGTTCTTGATAGACAGGGCCTTGCTCTCAGTGTTTCTTTTCTACTGTCCTAGTGCAAAGTCTGAGGTTACTCTTTACTGCAGCCCATCTCTTTAACCGCTGCAGCTTCTTCGTGTATACCCAATTTCCCAACAACTTTAAATGCATTCATGCTGTTTATCAAACTGCATATTTTCCTCATCTTCCTGTTTCTTTTCTTTGTTTTGATTTCTTACTATAAATACGGAAAAAAAGGAGTATGGCTGTGTCACAGCATTGGTGTTGTGGTGTCTAGAAACAAATTTCTCCACTAAATGAAATAGGAATGGGCTCCATGCCAATCCCCAAGAGTTATTGTTCTTTGAAACTTCTTGAGTCTGGCCTTCACCATCTGTATGCAAATGCATGGGGAGGCATTTACATTCAGTCTGTGATAGAAGTTTCCACTTCTGCAGAGAATGATGAATGCTTCGTGTTTAGCTGGACTGAGAAGAAAGAGTCCCGCTGTCTAGATAATATTTTCAAAGCTTAACGGCCTTGACGTAGGTGGCATTGCAATCAGGGAGCTGGGACTCTTCACCTGCAGGCAGACATGGGAAGAAGAACACTGGACATGAGCAGAGCCCAAGCACCCTCATAGAAGACCTGTCATCCCAGGCATTCATTTATTTATTTATTTTTATTGAGCTCTACATTTTTCTCTGCTTGCTCCCTACCTCTCCCTTCCCCTTCAATCCTCTAGGTACCCAACCCATAGCTCCTTCACATAGAGTCCTCCTGTTTACTTTTAGCTGAGAGAGATTATTCTTGAGGGAAATATATTTATCTTTCTCTATGCTTAACAAACTGAGTAATCTTATAATAAATTCACAAGCATTTCTGCCACTAAGAAAACCATCTTCAATATCCTTCTCTTTTCAATTCTTTTGGACAGGAAGGAAAAACAGACAAAAAGGTACCCCTGTCTCTTCAAAGCACAGGTGGTGAAGGGATAAGCTATACATCTTACCGCATTTGGGGTTTGGCAGGGAGGGTGAAAAGCAGATGTAATATAGACAGAGCAAGAAAATCTCCCTCCTCCAGTTACATGCTACTCCAGAGTCTTTACCTATGACCCCTCTCTTCCTGTGCATAGCTTCATGACTCTAGACAGAACCTTTCTGCTTTTCTATTTCAATCCAATCTAGAATCCCCCTCCTACTTTGTTTGTTCCAATAAAACAGTTTTCATCTATTTCCTACATTTTTGGGTAACCTCAAACAAAGCCCTGAAAAACCTGTCTAGATACATGCTCAAAGCTAAGTGGCCTTAACATGTCTGGCGTCACAAGCAGTACTCGCCACCACAGGCAGGCATGAGAGACTGGCAGGGGTCTGTTTTAACACCAGGAACTGAGAATCCCTACAAAATGTAAATCTGAACATGAGCCACAGAAAAGGGATTGGCAGTTAGGATGTGAGTCAGCCATAAAGGTTCTTACCACTTTGGGAGTCTGCACGGTGGAATAAAGTGTGTTTGCTGCTATCTCTTCCATATTTGTTTCCTATTAACAAACCAACAACAAACAAACATAATTATCACCTAACTTCTAAGTCACACAGACAAGAACATGGAGACACACAATCCAGAGAAAGCAAAGTATATGTAAGAGAACACAGAGAGAAGAAAAAGAAGGTTCTGGGATAGCAGAGAAGTTCTCTTGTTAGTAACTGCTTTAACAATGCCTATTAATCAGTTTTAAAGACAATCATTGTGTTTTTATTCATATTTTTATTTATTTTTATCACATTACTTTTTGTATTATGTTTCAATGGATTTCGAAATATGTTGAGATATATCTCACGAACTACGAGTCACCTAAGGTGGCTAAAGGCTAACATGAAGTTATAGTGTCCATGTTAAAAATGGACTTATCCAGTAATTCAAGATCTCTTGGTGAAACAGTAAGGATGCCCGATGAGCCAAAATAAAGCAATACCAAGAACAAAGACTCATGATTAGAAAGGAAAAAACATCCTGGGTGAGTTTAAGTTTATTTCCTGACCATGTAGGGCAGCCTTGCAGTTTCTGTGGGTGTAACCTGAAGGGGTTGACAAGCTGATAAATTTTGACTTAGTAAGTTGAGTAGGCTACAAAGCAGACCAGTTTTCAACCTCCTGTGAGGAAGCAAAGACCACCATCATCAACTGCAAAAAGGAAGAGGTGACTCATGGAACTGCTCACGTGAGTGGTACAGGTTTGGGGAAGAACCAAGGGTTCTAAAGTTCACCAACTTCTACATGGCTATCAGTTAAGGTGTGAGGGAGACAGACTGACTGAAGTCAAAGACCACATCTTAATCCCCTTCCTTTTCCCATGCTACCCAGTCTTGTAGAGGGTAGTCTCAGTGAAGTAAGGAAAGCCTTGGAGGGATGGATTTGATTACAGAAAAAAATGGAAAGGGACTCACATTCATGTAAGGGATTGTGTCATATTCTGGATTCTCTTCCAAGTGGGAACAGAAGTTTGGCTTTTTCTGGCGGATGTTCACTTTCTCCATGTCTTCCTTGGAAACTGAAACCACGTTTAGAGAATCAAATACTGCCTTTCTTACCGCTCACAATCTCCCCTGGCCCACAAAACCTGGATGATCTACTCAGAGTGACCAACCATCCTAGTCACTCTAAAATGGAAACACTTTATAGGGCAGAAAACTTTCAGTATTAAACTGGAGAAAATTATGGACAAATCAGGATGAATTAGCCACTTGTCATTCCACTTCCAAATCTCCAAATCAAGGTGGCTATAGTGAGAAGCAGAGGAAGTCAGAAACGTTCCCAGAATGCCTCGCACAGAGGTATTCTCAAAGAATATCTCAAAGACTATCTCTAAGTCTGCATTTGTACTCAACTATTATTGCAGTTTTTCCTTCACAGTCTACTCTTACCCCACCATGGATAGTGCTGGTAGGAGGATGGGAAACAAATAAAGGTTTTGGGATACAGGACGGGGTACAATGTAGAGAGACAGAGAAAGTCTTGTCCAAGAGGAATGTGCCTATCCTGAGGTGAAGGGGAAAGAGGAATCTTGATGCTGATTGAGTATGGAAGACAATCTAGTTGGGGGCTCTGACAGGGATAAGGATAGGAAGGGCAGGGAGACCATTGTTTGCTGGAAAGGAGCAGAATCTGTAGCAGGAGGGGCTGCTTGTTGGGGTTTCTGTCCTGCCCAGTTCCCACAGCTGACAAGTCCCAAAGAAAATCACACAGAGGTCTCCATAAGTTATAAACTGAATGGCCCATTAGCTCAGGCTTCATATTAGCTCTTATAATATATATTAACCCATTATCCTTATCTATGTTAGCTTTGAAAAAGGCTCAGTACCTTTTTCAACAGGGCAGATCACATCCTGCTTCTTCCATAATCTTAGCAGGACTGCAGAAAGAGCTTTCTTCTTCCTGGAACACTCCTGTTCTCATTGCCCCACCTCTATTTCCTGTCTGGTTTTCAGGCCTATACTTCCTGCCTGGCTATCAACCAATCAGCATTTATTTAAATATAATTGACAGAATATAGATGATTGTCCTGCACTACTTCCCCCTCTTTTAAAAAAAAAACAAAGGAAAATAGAGATTAAAATAAAGCCATGTAAAGATGAAAAATACACAGAGAGTCTGGATACTGAATGTTATGTTGTTGTTAAATTGTTTGATGGCTGAGAAAGGAACAAAAGCAGCTAAAATACATTTGAATATAAATGCTGCTAAATTAACCTAAGGTAGTTATTTTGAAAAGACACTGACTTCAAAATTGAAGTCAAAATGCATGTTACTTTGGAGAAGAGATTTTATTTATCAATTATGTTTTAAATAAACACTGATTGGTCAGTCGCCAGGCAGGGGGTATAGGTGGGACAACCAGACAGAAAATAGAGGCAGGACAATGAGAACAGGAGTATTCTGGGAAGAAGGAAGTTCTTTCTGCAGTCCTGCCCAGATCACCAAAGAAGCAGGATGTGACCTGCCCCGCTGAAAAAGGTACTGAGTCATGTGGGTAACAAAGATAAGAATAATGGGTTATTATAAGCTACAAGAGCTAATAAGAAGCCTGTGCTAATGGGCCAATCAGTTATAATCTTATGGAGAACTCTTTGTGATTCTCTTTGGGGCTAAACGGCTGTGGGAACTGGGCAGGACAGAAACCCCAACAACAAACAGGCCCTTCTGTTACAAGAATCAGCAATGTATGACCTGTATCATCAGAAGGGTCACATCCTTCTGAAGGAAGAATAGGAGTATGCACTAGAGAGGGACCCTGTCCTCAAGAGAGAAGGCAAGGACTACATTTTCTACTTTGGAGCTAAGTCATACAGCTATGGCATGCATTTTTCTTTGTGTGTGTGTGTGTGTGTGTGTGTGTGTGTGTGTGTGTGTGTGTGTGTTCATATTTATGTGTGAATAGGTGCATTGTGGGAAGGGCAGAGATCAACTTTGGGTGTTGTTTCTCAGGTGTTGTCTATCCTGTTTTATGAGACAGAATCTCTCACTGGCTTGGAACTAACAGGTTAGACTAGGTTAGTTGGCCAGTATAAGCCCCAGGGAACCACCTATCTCCACCTCCCCAGTGTTGGGATTACAAGTACATGCTGCTGCATCTGAATTTTTTTAAAAAAAATAATATGAGTCCTGGGGTTTGAATTCAGGTCCTCACACTTGTATGGCAAGCACTTTACTGAATGAGCTCTCTCTGTCTAGCCGTTGACTGTGCATTTCTTAAGGGAAGAGACCATGACCTCCTGGTTTTATATCTTCAACACTGAATCTTGCACACAGATTAATTTATTGCATGAGGAATAAGAAGGAGAACATATATGAAGCAAAAAACCATATATGCTTACCTTTTCCTTTCTCTGTACGCATAGCAACAGGAATAATCGCCAGCAAGAGACCGAGTACAACTGACACTGGCAGGATATATAGGATTATGCTGGGTGAATTTAGGTCCTTGGCAGCATCTTTAAAGAGAAAATGAAGAGAGGCATGAGGAGGGTAGATGTGTGTGGTAAAGTCAGCTAGGCAAAAGGACCTAACTTCCACATTCCTCCCAGCCTGCTGCTTTCCCAGAGGCCTCTAGTTGACACGGAGCCTGTTTCTATAGAAACTGAGAGCTAAAGAAGATAACATTTCTCCAACCAGAGGCTCCTGGAGAGAGGAGACTGTTACCTTCACAGAGATTCTGGACGTGGGTGGGGATCGAGGAACTTTGGCTGATGGGATTTCTGGCCATGCAAATTAAAGTCTTGTCTTTTTCTCCCAATCTCCAGGAGATGGGGAGGATGGCACCATCATGAGATTCATTGACTCCCTTCCCAACGACTTTCCAGCTGTAAGTCACATTCTCTCCTCCCTTGTCCATGGAGCATGTCAGGTTGGTTGTGCAGGTGCCATTCGTGGTGTCTTGCCCATCCAAGGTGACTTTGGGCCTTGACAGATACTCTGTAAAAGATAGCACAACAGGATGGAAGTTAGTCCTGAGCTCAACTTTCTTCAGGTTACCCTTCTTTACCTTGGACCTGACTCTTGCTGGTAAATTTAAGAAGGGTAAGCAAGTCACAGTTCAGAGCAGAATGTCTTATTCTTATCTGGGAAAGAGACCTCTTCGTCTGCTTGGCCCTACCTATATAGCAAGAATAACAATAGCAACTATTCCAGCAGAGATAAGCATACAACAACAATGTAGTGACATTCACCACACCTAGACGCAGGGCAAACACTGAACTTACTTGTATTTAAATACTACCCAGTCTTTAGGCAGAAACTTTTCATTGCTTGTCCTCGGACTTCCTTTAACACACTTTCCTTTATCCTCTCAGGGAGAATAATAATAACAGAGTAACACTTCTCGCTAACTTGTGCCTGCTCCTTTATGCTTAGAATATCAGCAACAGCTTACCCATCCTAGAGTTTGGTCCATTAAATATTTCTGTTCAAATACCTTTTTCCTCTTCATCCTTCCCCCAGCTAGATTGTCTGCAGATTAACTCATCTCTGGTGCCTTCCACAGTATCTCAATGGAATATAAGCCTGGCTCAAGGTGATTTGTCTAGCTCCTGCAAGCTAGTCTTGGGTTCCTTCTCCTGGTATCTCTGAACTGTAGTTCAGTGCACAGGACAAGTAACTTTTCTGGTAGAGAGCTGATTGGTTTGCAAGTTTAACTTCCTGAGTGGTTTCTCTTTCCTCTCTCCCTCTCTGTCTTTCTCTTACTGTTGCCCAGGATAGCCTCTCAAACCTGATCCCAAGCAGTTCTCCAGAGTAGCTACAACTACAGGCATAGCTGGATCTTATCTTCATTCTGATTTTGTGTGTGTGTGTGTGTGTGTGTGTGTGTGTGTGTGTGTATTTCCCAGCTGCTTAAAGTTTATAGGGGAAGGAATGTAATTAATTTGTATCTAATAATCTTAAGGTAGGCACCATTGTCCTCCTTACATATGAGGAAACTAAGGCTTAAAGAAAGTAACTTGGACAAGGCCATGCACACATCAAATAGCCAACTTTTGACTTCTATCTGTGTGGTAGCTACCTTTTTTGTTATTTCTGTTTTGTTTTTGAGACAGGGTTTCTCTATGTAGCTCTGGCTGTCCTAGAACTCACTCCATAGACCAGGCTGTTCTGGAACTCAGAGATCTGATTGCTTCTGCCTCCCAAATCATGGTATTAGAGTCATGCTCCACCACCGCCCAACTGATAGTCTCTTTTTAATTGATTTTTATTGAGCTCAAATTTTTCTCTGCTCCCCTCCCTGCCTTTCCCCTCCCCTTCAACCCTCTCCCGAGGACCCCGTGCTCCCAATTTACTTAGGAGATCTTGTCTTTTCCTACTACCTATGTAGATTAGCTCTATGTATGTCTCTCTTAGGGTCTTCATTGTTGTCTAGGTTCTCTGGGATTACTGCACAGTCTCTTAGAGAATCTCAAAGTAAGCAGAGAACATATGGGCCATATCATCAGTGAAGGAGTCCTCTGCTCCCTGATCCTTGCTTTGTGATTATCCAAACTTGACTTGAACATCCACTGTATCGGGATGCTCACTACATCCGTATGCCTACCATCTACCATTAGAACCAAGCCTACTTACCATAGACATACAGCACATATTTCTGGGTGAAGGGAGACCCAAGAGATGGACTGTAAATCTCTGCCCGGTAGACACCTGAGTCATTCTTCTTCAACTGGCTGAGTGTCATGGAGTAGTTTCCATCTGGGAAGACTATCCTTTCTTTGTTATGATTTTGAGGCACTATGACTTTGTCCTTAGATATGACGGCAAGAGAAAGTGTCTCGAAGGTCCATACAATAGTGTCAACCTGTTTTCCTGTGAAATTCAGACTGAAGGTCACAGATCCACCAAGGGCACCAGCCATCTCCTTCAGAGTTCCAGAAGTTTTTGCTGTCACTGCAGACACAGAAAACCATAACGTAAGCTCTTGTTACAAATTACCACAACCTTTGGGTCCTTGGAAGATCCTGTGACATATCTTCAAGTTCAGTAGAAGCAGAACCCCACCCACACTGAGGTGTCATTGAGAACAGACCTTTCTGCCTGCCACCACCGTACTACATTCTCAGAGACCCCCAGCAGAGTAGTCCAAACTCTGTGGTAAACAGAGTTTGCCCAGCTCCATCCCTGACAGGTTCCTGTTGTTGGAGGAGGTAAGGAGAGACAACTAAAGAAGTTTCTATCTGGGTCTCTTGGGAAGACCAGATTACTCCAGAGATGTTTAGCATGAAGCTGATGAGACAGGCTTCCCAATCCAGGATCAGTGGCTCACAAGCATCAATAGGGTAATGGGAGGAGAGCTATATGTTTGTAGTGACAGCAATAGCGGACACGTTTAAGGATGACCTCTCTTCCCAATTTAAGATGCATTAGTAGACTCGAGGTTATCCCCACAAACAGCTTTCATCACTTGCATAATATGTTTGTGTGGGAAGAAGGAAAAGGGTGAGTCTGAGTGTTGGGGAGCACTGAGACGCTCACCTCACATGCTAGAAATTGCTGTAGGGTTTTCATTTCACAAGAATTTTGTTGCTTTGATTGACACAGTCTTAGCTCACCCTGTAGAGCCTGACTCTGAAGCAGTCATCACTAGTTATGTGACTCCACATGGAAGAATGAAAGGGACTTCCAGAAGTGGCCAACTAAGTATTTCCAGTGATGATGATGGGGTGACTGTCTGTAAAAGTCTAAGGGACAAAATCTGGGGCTAGCAAAGGCACTGAGGCACAAAAATTTAAAACATGTACGATGAACTTTCTTTAGCTGTTAAAGTTCTTAGAAGAGGAAGATTTTTACTTTTGTCAGACAGAACAGAACCTACTCCCTTAAGTACAGGTCTGGGGAACCTTCAAAAGTACTGGCTTCTCTTCCTGGAAAAATTTCCATTTTCAAACATTTTCCCTATAACTTCTTAGTCAGTGCTCATATACTCTGGATACCTCCAATCTTGTCAAATTATCTAGTTAAATTTGAGTTTTCAAAAAGCTCCCTACTCCCATAATACAAAGGCTAGAATGGTTTTAGACTGCCTTTACTTTAATTATCTCAAAGGATGGGAAAAGAGTACCAGTAAAGGTTACAGACAAAAATCAAATGTACTCTGATTTATTTGACCAATTGATGCCTTCATTCTTACATTTCAACGACAGAGACAAAAAGGGTAAATATTTTGAAGTCAGGTGAAGTTTGGGTATCACTTGCCCTCCAAGTGGGTCAAATTCCTGGACCTTCAAGTAATTTCATTTTCACATTGGTTTTGGGGGATTTGTATTACTCACTCCCTTTTATGGTATGTATCTGTCCTTTTCTGAAGGAATAACAAATGCTTGAAGGTGGATACTTTACAAAGAAAAAATAACTTACAGTGTGGGAGGTTGAAAACCTGAGCGTGTGCAGTACCATAAGTGAAGCCTTTGGTGAAGATTCTCTTGGTTGGGTCACAAGATGGCAGAGAAACAGAAGGGAAATCACCCCTGTGCAGAAGAGGCCAAGAACAGATGGGCCTCACCACAACAAATCTGCTCTCAGGACAGTTAACTTACTCCAAGAAAGTGGAAGTAGTTCTGTCTCAGGATAATGGTACCCTCTTCACCTAACAGCCTCTGCTAGGCCTTAACTCTTAAAGGTTTTATCACCTCTACCTCACCACAGTGCTTTTGGTATCAAATTCATGGGTGTGGCAGATCACATCTAAACCATAGCAAGGTGCTTAAGAGGCAAAACTGAGACTATGGCTTTAGTGTGTTAGCACGTGTGCATGTGCTTCAGCCAGGAGGAAGCCCCCTTTTCACTCCCTCACAGTATGTGTCAACTTCTCAGGGTAAATGTCACCAGATATGAGTAATGTGGAGCAAGGTGAGGAAAATCTGAAATTCGCTGTCCTTTGTTAGGAAGAAAGTGGAGGATGGCGTGGGGAGAGTGCTCCATAGAGCACCCACCATCCATTCTCTTCCTCCTCTCTCCTTCCTCTTCCTATTTTTTCTTTCCTTTTTCTTTTTCCAAAGTTGGCTTCAAATTTGCTATGGAACTAAGGGAAAATGACCTTGAACACTTTTTAAAATATAAAGTATATTTTAGGTTTTCAAATTTGACTTTATGCGTATCAGTATTTTGTCTACGTGTAGGTATGTATACCATGTGTGTGCCTGGTACCTGTCAAAGTCAGAAGAGGACAGACCTTTCTGGAACTAGAGTTACAGGTGGTTGAGAGCCACCATGTGTTGTGGGAATCAAACCCAAGTTCTCTGCAAGAGCAGCAAATTGCTCTTAACCCCTGAGCTCCAGAGTCTTGACCTCTTGATCTTCCTGCCTCCACCCCCTAAGTGCAACCATACCCAGATTACTGTTCTATCTTAAGTGTATCTTCAGGATGGAAAAGAAAGTTAACTGAAGGAAACAGTTTCGTGCCATTTCCTAAATAATGGGTTAACGAACAAAAAAACAGTGTTGGGAAATTCTAGTCAGCTTAGTTTTATTATCCCAGTGACTGGGAAATGGGATCTAGAAACCAGAGACATTTTTTTAAAATGCTCGAAGTTGAAATGAAACCTCTGCATCATTTTCATCACTTCCAGGCATGGTGCTACCGCTTGCTCATATTTAAGCAGACCGTGTTTGGTATGTTTGACCTTCCTAGGAGCTAAAGAGAGAACTGAGGGTCTGAGCAAGATGGTCATGATCCTAGGGCTTACAAAACTGCGGGAAATCAGCAGCTAAGCAACTGCACATGCTATGAGAAGGGAAGTAATGACTGCTGTGGGGATTCTGGGGGAGGGCTTAGCCTGACCTGGAGTCTGGACTCACAAGCCTGCCCAGCCTTTTGACATTGCGCCATGACAGTCATCTGAAAATTTTGCCCTTGAGAACTGCACAGTAGAGTTACTAGAAGCATCCCATAGTGTTGTAAGTATGTTTCCAATTTTGTGCCAGGCCACATTCCTGGATTTCTTGGGTTCTATGTAGCCCAGTGGCTACAGGCGGGATGTGTTGGCTAGAGAATGTATGACTACCAATTCCTTCCTAAAGATCTGGGTCCCTCAAGACTCACCTTCCTCCCTCAGATGCCACTCTCCCACCTGTCAGCAGGGAATGATGTGACCCGCCTCCTCTGTGCTCCCTTGACCTCTCATTTCACAGCAGTCAAGGGGTTTGGGTAAGTCTGACAGCGCTCAGCTTCAGTGGTACTCTCCTCTGGCCCAGTGATTTCCCTAGAGTTATCACAAGACCTGGGAGAAGCCTGGGGCTTTAGCTCTAAGGCCAAGATAATGTTATAAGGCTATGGAAAACACAAAACCCACTTGCTGTCAGTCAACAAGTGTCCAGGCCTCTTCTCTTTCCTGATCCTCAGTTGTGTGTGTGTGTGTGTGTGGGTGTGTGTGTGTGTGTGTGTGTGTGTGTGACTTGTATGCACACCCATACACACATGCACCATATGTACATCATATGTGTATGTAGGGGGGCATATGCTGTGGTGTGCCATGTGGAAGTCAGAGGACGACTATAGAGTCAGGTCTCTCCTTTCAGCTGTCCATGGATTCTGGGTCTTGAACTCAGGTTGCCAGACTTGCATGGAAAGTGCCTATACCTGCCAGGCCATCTTATTGGTCCCTGGTTCGCTTTTGCTTTTATGCTGTTTTGTGCTTCAGCTTCTCTATCTGAAATAAATCGTATTCAAACCCCGTTTAAAGCCACACCTCTGGAATACCTTGACATACATGTTTCTTTATTTCCACTTCAACTTTTCAGATAAGAAATAGCCCTGCTTCGTGGTGTCTGGACACGTCATTTGTGTGTGTGAATTAGCCAATGACCAGTCTACAGGTGTTATGTCTCAGATTACCCTGTCGTGGCATCACTGTGCCCAGAGAAGGCTATGATGGCCCTCTCTTCCTACCAGGACAGTGCAGGGTAAAAAGGGCTCTCTGTTTTCATTTGGAGTCAAGGGACCCAGGCCCCATTCCGGTTCCTCCATAGTCTAGAGACAAACACTTGGTGTCTGTAAGCCAGTCTGATGGACTTACCTTTGTAGATCTTCAGAACAAGCTTAGGAGATAAGAGTTAACACATTCCATTTCATAAATGAGGATACCAGGGTTGAGTGACTTTTCCAAGGCCACAAAAATGGCAGGGGTGTAGTTCAGTGTTAGAGTCCTTGGCAGATGCACATGAGGTCCAGGTTTGATGAACCCCAGGTTTGATGAACCCCAATTTGAGAGAGAGAGGTAGGGGTAGAGATCCTCTATCTCAAAGACCTTTTTTTGCTTTCTTTCTTTCTTTTTTTTTAACATTTACTATTTTGAGTTTCAGTTCTCTGAGGGAAAAACACCTTCAAGTCCTAGGAATCTGGGGAGAGTGAATGTGGATCTGAAAGTATTTTGACAAATACAGAACAAGAACAGGTGACAGCATGGTGGGAGGCACCAAGAGCAGAAGGCGCTTTGAAAAGGTTTTTCTTTTTTCAAATTTCATGTCGAGGCATTCAAGAAAATAGTTCACAAAACAGCAGTGGGTGATTTTGTAGTAAGACAAAGGTTCAGTCACCACTGCAAATCTCCCTGGAAGCCAGGACGGAGAGGCGGAAGGCGCTGGACCAGGAGGCTATCTGGACCAGGAGGCTATCTGGACCAGGAGG